TTCACGTACTTTCAACATTTACAGTGCTGGGCTCCACAGATGCCTTTAAATCAGACCTGGCCTCTGCCTGCTCTGTGATCCCAATCTTTACAGGCCTTATAGGCATCTCTGGGCGGGACTCCAGCAGTATAGGGACCATCATACTGTCATTTCTGACAGATTCCTCATCTGGGAGAACAGTAGCTGAGGGATGATGAATCACAGCTAATTTGGGACTGGAAGGCATTGTATGGTCAACAGGTGTAGTCAAGGCTGCAGTTGTAGAAATGGTTTTAGCCTTTGCGCTGTGTGTGGAGCTTGTGGTGGACAAGCTGCTGCTGGGATGCTCAGAAGTAACAAGTGGAGGTTTGGTGGTGAACGCTGCATGTTTCCTTTCTTCAGGCAAAGTGACCGAATAATGTGCAGAGGGACTGGTTTGGGAGGATGCACCATGTTTTTCTGTTGTAACTTCAGTATTCAGAGTTGCCACAGCTGGTAAAACAGCAGTGCTGCCTACTGGAGGCAGATCTCCAGAGGCCTCCCCGTCTCCAGACGCCTGCTCCTCACCTGAGCCTGTTTCTGCAGCACCATCAGTTGTCTTTTCATCTCTGCCTTTTTCTTCCAGACCTGCAGGGGGCAGAGGCTGTTGGGTGTGAAGGAATGGATGAACTGACGGATGCGTGTTGGGTTTATCTGGAAGATCGACATCTTGCCCAGAGGCCTCCCCGTCTCCAGACACCTGCTCCTCACCTGAGCCTGTTTCTGCAGTTCCATCTGTAGTCTTTCCTTCTCTGTCGTTTAATTTCAGATCTTTTGGGGGCAGAGGCTGTCGGGTGTGAAGGATGGGGTGAATTGATGGGGGTATGTTGACCAGGGTCGGTTTATCTGCATGATCGACATCTTGCCCAGAGGCCTCCTCCTCTCCAGATGCAGACCCTTCAAAGTCGCCTAGACTGGCTTGAGTTGTTGTTTTTGGGGACTTTATATCTGGGGTCAAAGTTGGAAGCTCTGTGCCTCCTATCTCTGCCTCATCCGTTATCACACCAGCTAGTATTGAAGCAGGGGTGGGAAAGGTCTCATCTCCAGAAGTCTTTTCAGGAGTGGCTTTCCGTTTGTCCTCCAAGTCTTCATGTAGGCCGGGCTGTGAAACATCAAGGAGAATTGGAATTGGCAGTGTGGTAGAGGTTGCTGATGAATACTTAGATGGATGAGTGGTGGTTGCTGCTGATTTATCAAGCTCTTGAGATGGAGTAGTCTGTTTGGGGACTGTCTGGATTTCACTGACTGAAACAGTAACAGTTGTCTGGGCTGCATCTATGGAAGGAGTGGCCTCTTCAGGCTCCGCTGTGGGGCTCTGTAAATCATCGTATTTTAGGGTATACACCGTTGGTTCCTCTTGGTCGCCGAGACTAACCTCCCCCACATAAACAGGAGAAGCTGTCTCAAACTGATCACCGCGGGCTTCCCATGGAGGTGGTGGATCGAACGTCACCTGGGTGGACGGAAGCAAATAAAAACGTTTTTCAAGAAGAATCAGCTATTTCAGTTTTGTCTGCACATCTATCCAGGCCAGCTGACAGCTTTCCTAGGGCCCGGAACAAAAAGTCTTTTTGGGCCCCCGTCTACAACTATCTCTGATCGAGCAGCAAGCCCTTCCACTTGCACTGTGTTATGTGTAGGATGACTCTCTGTCTCCTCCTCAAACACACGCTCCCCCCGCCCCCCAAAACTGCGACAGGAGACCTGCTACAGTACAATGTCCTTTTTCTGCGCCTTAGACTTAGACAGATTTATTTTGTATACACCAGTGTATACAAAAAGAAATTAAGTTTAAAACAGCATCCTTGAAAACATTAATAAATACATAAAAAAATTGTAATATAAACATATAACATATATATATATATATATATATATATGCATAAATATATGTATTTATTTAGTTTAATATAAAAAAAATTTTCATGACAGTTTTTTCTCAAAAAATATTTCTGCCTGTATTTTTAATAGTCAGTGTCAATTTTAGACCCCCCCTCTGTCCTGGGCCTGGGACAATTGACCACTGGCATGCATCTAGCCCAGGGATCAATTTCCTTCAATGTCTGAAACATGAAACATTTTCGAAACTGATAAAATTAGCCAGAATGACCCACTGTCCAATACCTACATCAGATAGAAAGCGAGAAACAAAGGCTTGAGAGAATGAATGATCATCGGGTTAAACGCTCTCCTGTACCTCATGTTTTCCATTGACAAAGCGGATCTTCTCCGATAGAAGTTCAGAGTCTTCGTTGTTCAGGACAGCCTCACTGGATATCTGTGTGAGTCCAGGGATGTGTGGGAAGTGAAACTGGGAGCCATTTGATGGCTGGTTCAGGAAATCCAAGACATTTTTCACTGGAGGTGGAGGAGACGGAACAAGTTTTAAGAAAACAGACGCAATCGGATTTTAAGTATAACTCTGGATATGCTATTTGTACCAATTGGGGGCTGAAAATGATTTACAAATTGATGTGATAAATCTTTGGATGTTAATAAAACTTTAGTAAAAGTTTGTAAGCAGAGTAATTGCATAATACGGATCTGGACTTGTGAAATTCCTTAATTCTTCCAAAAACTTTCAAACTGTGGTGAAGGTGGAGAAGTTGTCAGGCTTCTTTAATTTACTGTTTGGTTCCTAGAATTTCTGAAAAGTTATCCTGAGCTACCTCTATAGTTCTGCTGCTATAGGCTTAGACTGCTGGAGGACATAGGGACCCCTAGTTTATCATTCTGCATCATTCCATCTCTATTCTCCCACTCTGCAGAATCTGTTAGTTCAAAACTTTATGTTAAGCTCTCCTTTTTCTCATAGTAGCTTCATCTGGTCTGTTCCTGTTTGGCTGTGACTCCATGCTG